CTCCCCCCCCTCCTAATGACCCCCCCTCCAATCCCCCCTCCCCCTTCTCCCCCCCACCTCCTCCTCCCCCCCATGAATGACCCCCTTCTCCATAATGACCCCCCCCCCCACCTCCTCCTCCCCCTTCTCCATAATGACCCCCACCTTACCTCCTCCCCCCCCATAATGACCCCCCACCTCCTCCTCCCCCATCCATAATGACCCCCACCTCCTCCCCCCCTTCCTCCATAATGACCCCCCACCTCTCCTCAATGACCCCCCCCTCCTCTTCTCCATAATGACCCCCCCACCTCCCCTCCCCCTTCCTCCATAATGACCCCCACCTCCTCCTCCCCCTTCTCCATAATGACCCCCACCTTCTCCTCCCCCTTCTCCCCCATAATAATGACCCCCCACCTCCCCCCCACCTTCTCCCTCCTCCCCCTTCCTCCATAATGACCCCCACCTCCTCCTCCCCCTTCTCCATAATGACCCCCCACCTCCTCCTCTCCCCATAATACCCCCCCACCTCCTGACCCCCCCCTCCCCCTTCTCCATAACCCTCCCCCTTCTCCATAAATTACCCATGGAGTTTAAATTTAGCGCCCTTCTCCTCTCCCGCTGTACAATAGGGGGGACCCCCATGGCCAGTCCTCCTCGGGGGACCCGTCGAGGGGTAAGAGGGCCCTACTCTTTCCCCAGCTTCAATCCATAGGATGAGGGGGTAGTGGTACCTCCTCCTCCCCATGCATTCTCTCCATAATGACCCCCCAATCCTCCTCCCCCCGTTAGGTCCATAATGGTGGGGTAGACCTCTCCTTCCCCTGAAGAGATGGGTCCATAAGGGACCCCCTGAATGTGAGGAGGGAAGGCGACCTCCTCCTCCCCAGTGAGTTCCAGAATGACCCCCCAGGACCTGGAGAAGTCCTCCATAATGACAGTCCTCCTCCCCCCCTTCTCCATAATGACCTAGGGAGCAGGATCCTCCTCCCCCTGAGGAGCGAATAATGACCCCGGTACTTGGGGATCCAGGTTGGTCCATAATGACCCCCCCCACCTACCAGTCCCTGTGAACCCCCCTTCCTCCATAATGACCCCCCACCTTGAATTCCCCCTTGCCCATAATGATCCCCCCCTCCAGAGGGGGGTGGCCATAATGGACACCCCGGGTGGTCCTCCCCCTCCCTCCATATGAGTCTAGCCGCTCCCTTCAGGATGGTCTAAGCGACCCCCACCTGCTCTCCCCCTTCCAGTCCATCAAATGACTGAGATAATCAGGGAGTGTCCGAGTAGTTTAGTGGTGTCTGGGGTTCCCCCGTATTTTTTGGGATGTTGTGGAGGTGGAGCCTTCCTCCATGTGTTTGTGACCCCCACCCTCCCCTTCCTCCATGACTTTGGGGTTGTGACCCCCCACAGGAGGAGGTCTCCATAATGACGCCAAGGACCTATCCTCCTGGGGAGGGAATCCCCCCATGTTGGTAGTGATGACCCCCCACCTCCTCCTCCTCCCTGCCCTTCATTTGGATTCACCTCCTCCCCCCCCCCTCCATAAATGACCCCACCTCCTCCTCCCCATCCCTCCTGAATGACCCCCCACCTCGTCTCCTCCCCCTCCTCCATAAGGACTCCCCACCTCCTCCTCCCCCTTCCTCCATAATGACCCCCCACCTCCTCCTCCCCCCTCCATAATGACCCCCCACCTCCCCCTCCCCACCTCCTCTCTCCCTTCTCCATAATGACCCCCCACCAGTCCTCCTCCCCCCTTCCTCCATAATGACCCCCCTCTCCTCCTCCTCCATTATTCTCCATAATGACCCCCCACCTCTCCTGTTCCTGGACCCCTTCCTCCATAATGACCCCCCACCTCCTCCTCCCCCTCTCCCCCCATCCAATGACCCCCCACCCCTCCTGCTGACCCCCTCCCCCCCCTCCATAATGACCCCCACAACCCCTCCTTCTCCATAATCCTCCATAATGACCCCCCACCCCCTCCCCCTTCCTCCATAATGACCCCCACCTCCTCCTCCCCCTTCTCCATAATGACCCCCCACCTCCTCCCCCCCCCCCCTTCTCCATAATGACCCCCCACCTCCTCCCTACCCCTTCCTCCATAATGACCTCCCCACCTCCCCTCCCCCTTCCTCCATAATGACCCCCACCTCCTCCTCCCCCATCCTCCATAATGACCCCCCCACCTCCTCCATAATGACCCCCCCCCCTTCCCCCTTCCTCCATAATGACCCCCCCACCTCCTCCATCCCCCTCCCTCCTTCTCCATAATGACCCCCCACCCTCCTCCCCCTTCTCCATAATGACCCCCCACACCTCCTCTCCTTCCCCCTTCCTCCATAATGACCTCCTCCTCCCCCTTCCTCCATAATGACCCCCACCTCCTCCTCCTCTCCATAATGACCCCCAACCTCCCCCTCCCCCCTCCATAATGACCCTCCCCACCTCTCCTCCTCCCTCCATAATGACTCCCCCCACCCTCCTCCTCCCCCTCCCATAATGACCCCCCCACCTCCTCCTCCTTCTTCTCCATAATGACCCCCCACCTCCTCCTCCCCCTTCCTCCATAATGACCCCCCACCTCCTCCTCCCCCTTCCTCCATAATGACCCCCCACCTCCTCCTCCCCTCCTCCATAATGACCCCCCCACCTCCTCCTCCCCCTTCTCCATAATGACCCCCTCCCTCCCCCTCCTCCTCCCCTCCTCCTCCATAATGACCCCCCACCTCCTCCTCCCCCTCCTCCATAATGACTCCCCACCCTCCTCCCCTCCCCCCATAATGACCCCCCACCTCCCCCTTCTCCTCCTCCTCCTCCATAATGACCCCCCACCTCCTAATGACCCTCCCCCTTCCTCCATAATGACTCCCCACCTCCTCCTCCTCCCCCTTCCTCCATAATGACCCCCCCCCCACCTCCTCCCTCCCCCCCTCCATAATGACTCCCCACCTCCTCCTCCCCCTCCCTCTCCATAATGACCCCCCACCTCCTCCTCCCCCTCCCTCCATAATGACCCCCCACCTCCTCCTCCCCATAATGACCCCCCACCTCCTCTCCCCCTTCTCCATAATGACCCCCACCTCCTCCATAATGACCCCCCCCTCCTTCCTCCATAATGACCCCCACCTCCTCCTCCCCCTCCTCCATAATGACCCCCACCTCCTCCCCCCCCCTCCCTCCCTCCATAATGACCCCCCCCTCCTCCTCCTCCCTTCCCCATAATGACCCCCACCTCCTCCCCCCCTCTCCATAATGACCCCCCCACCTCCTCCTCCCCCTTCCTCCATAATGACCCCCCACCTCCCTCCCCCTCCTCCATAATGACCCCCCACCTCCTCCTCCCCCTTCCTCCATAATGACCCCCCACCTCCTCCTCCCCCCCTTCCTCCATAATGACCCCCACCTCCTCCTCCCCCCTTCCTCCATAATGACCCCCCCCCCCATAATGACCCTCCTCCCTCCCCATAATGACCCCCCCCCTCCTCCTCCATAATGACCCCCCACTCCTCCTCCTCCCCCTTCCTCCATAATGACCCCCACCTCCTCCTCTCCCCATAATAATGACCCCCCACCCTCCTGACCCTCCACCTCCATCCTCCCCCTTCCCCATAATGACCCCCCCTCCTCGTCTCCCTCCTAATGACCCCCCACCCCCCTTCCTCCATAATGACCCCCCCCTCCTCCTCCCCCCTCCTCCATAATGACCCCCCACCTCCTCTCCCCTCCCCCCATAATGACCCCCCTCCCTCCCCCTTCCTCCATAATGACCCCCCACCTCCTCCTCCCCCTTCCTCCATAATGACCCCCCACCTCCTCCTCCCCCTCCTCCATAATGACCCCCCCCTCCTCCCCTTCCTCCATAATGACCCCCCACCACCTCCTCCTCCTCCTCCATAATGACCCCCCCCCACCCCCACCTCCTCCCCCTTCCTCCATAATGACCCCCCCCACCTCCTCCTCCTCCATAATGACCCCCCACCCCTCCTCCTCCCTCCCACCTCCTCCTCCTCCCCCTTCCTCCATAATGACCCCCCACCTCCTCCTCCCCCTTCTCCATAATGACCCCCCTCCTCCTCCCCCTCCATAATGACCCCCCCTCCCTCCCCCTTCCCCATAATGACCCCCCACCTCCCCTCCCCACCTCCCCCCTTCCTCCATAATGACTCCCCACCCCCTCCTCCTCCTCTCCCCATAATGACCCCCCACCTCCCCCACCTCCATAATGACCCCCCACCTCCCCCCCTCTCCATAATGACTCCCCACCTCCTCCTCCCCCCCTCTCCATAATGACCCCCCACCTCCTCCTCTCCCCATAATGACCCCCCACCTCCTCCTCTCCTCCATAATGACCCCCACCTCCTCCTCCCCTCCCATAATGACCCCCACCTCCTCCTCCCTCCATAATGACCCCCCACCTCCTCCTCCCCCTTCCTCCATAATGACCCCCCACCTCCTCCCTCCCCCCTTCCCTCCATAATGACCCCCCACCTCCTCCTCTCCATAATGACCCCCCACCTCCTCCTCCTCCCCTTCCTCCATAATGACCCCCCACCTCCTCCTCCCTCCCTCCATAATGACCCCCCACCTTCCCCCTTCCATAATGACCCCCCACCTCCTCCCCCTTCCCCATAATGACCCCCCCCCCTTCCTCCATAATGACCCCCCACCTCCTCCTGACCCCCCCCTTCCTCCATAATGACCCCCCACCTCCTCCTCCCCCTTCCTCCATAATGACCCCCCACCTCCTCCTCCCCCCTCCATAATGACCCCCCACCTCCTCCTCCCCCTTCCTCCATAATGACCCCCCACCTCCTCCTCCCCCTTCTCCATAATGACCCCCCACCTGACCCCCCTCCTCTCCCCATAATGACCCCCCCCCCACCCTCCATAATGACATAATGACCCCTCCCCACCTCCTCCTCCCCCTCCCTCCATAATGACCCCCCCCACCCCTCTCCATACTGTCCCCCTCCCCTCCGTTCTCCTCCCCCTCCCGCGGTTTCGGTTTTTCGGTGTGGGATGGCGGACGGCGGGTCGGTGTTGCTGCGCCTGGAGGCGGGGGAGGTGCAGTGCACGGTGTGTATGGGGGTGTATCGCTGCCCCTGTACCCTCCCCTGCGGACACACGTGCTGCCAGCCGTGCATCGAGAAATGGTGGCGCGGGAGCGCGCAGTGTTCGTGCCCCGTCTGCAGCACCGTCTTCCCCGCCCGCCCCCAACTCAGCAAGAACATCGTCCTGGCCAGCCTGTTGGAGGCGCTACACGCCCAGGACCCCGGCGCCCACCACGACTGCCCCCCAGTGCGCAGGCCCAGCCGCCACCAAACTCTGCCTGCCCTGTATGGCGCCCCTGTGCGGAGAACACCAGCTACTGCACGTCTCCAACTCCGCCCCACGGCGACACCTGCTGGTCACTCTGCGCGCTGCAACCTGGCCGTGCCGAGGACACCCCAGAGGACTGCAGAACTTTCTGTCTGCCGCACTCCGCCCCCTTCTGTCCGGACTGTGAACTGCAACACCGACACTGCGACACGGCGCCCCTGCTGGAGCTCTACAGGAACAACAGGGTGAGTCCTATACATGGTATATACATTCTGTATACTGGGGGGGGGGGGTCCTATACATGGTATATACATTCTGTATACTGGGGGGGGGGGTCCTATACATGGTATATATATTCTGTATACTGGGGGGTCCTATACATGGTATATACATTCTGTATACTGGGGGGTCCTATACATGGTATATACATTCTGTATACTGGGGGGTCCTATACATGGTATATATTCTGTATACTGGGGGGTCCTATACATGGTATATATTCTGTATACTGGGGGGTCCTATACATGGTATATACATTCTGTATACTGTATATACATAATGACCCCCCCACCTCCTCCTCCTCCTGGGGGGGGTCCTATACATGGTATATACATTCTGTATACTGGGGGGTCCTATACATGGTATATACATTCCTATAACCTGGGGGGGTCCTTCTTTACCCTATACATTACTGCCCTGGGGGGGGGTCCTATACATGGTATATACATTCTATATACTGGGGGGGTCCTATACATGGTATATACATTCTAATATACTGGGGGGGGTCCTATACATGGTATATACATTCTGTATACTGGGGGGGGGTCCTATACATGGTATATACATTCTGTATACTGGGGGGTCCTATACCTATACATTCTGTATACTGGGGGGGTCCTATACATGGTATAATGACACATTACATGGTATATACATTCTGTATACTGGGGGGTCCTATACATGGTATATACATTCTGTATACATGGGGATATCTTTCTATATACTGGTATATACATTCTGTTCTGTATACTGGGGGGGTCCTATACATGGTATATACATTCTGTATACTGGGGGGTCCTATACATGGTATATATTATTGTGTATACTGGGGGGTCCTATACATGGTATATACATTCTGTATACTGGGGGGTCCTATACATGGTATATACATTCTGTATACTGGGGGGTCCTATACATGGTATATACATTCTGTATACTGGGGGGGGGGGTCCTATACATGGTATATATTCTGTATACTGGGGGGTCCTATACATGGTATATACATTCTATATACTGGGGGGGGTCCTATACATGGTATATACATTCTGTATACTGGGGGGGTCCTATACATGGTATATATTCTGTATACTGGGGGGTCCTATACATGGTATATACATTCTATATACTGGGGGGTCCTATACATGGTATATACATTCTGTATACTGGGGGGGTCCTATACATGGTATATATACATTCTGTATACTGGGGGGGGGGGTCCTATACATGGTATATACATTCTGTATACTGGGGGGTCCTATACATGGTATATACATTCTGTATACTGGGGGGGGTCCTATACATGGTATATACATTCTGTATACTGGGGGGTCCTATACATGGTATATACATTCTGTATACTGGGGGGTCCTATACATGGTATATACATTCTGTATACTGGGGGGTCCTATACATGGTATATACATTCTGTATACTGGGGGGTCCTATACATGGTATATACATTCTGTATACTGGGGGGGGGTCCTATACATGGTATATACATTCTGTATACTGGGGGGGTCCTATACATGGTATATACATTCTGTATACTGGGGGGGGGTCCTATACATGGTATATACATTCTATATACTGGGGGGTCCTATACATGGTATATATACATTCTATATACTGGGGGGGTCCGTATACATGGTATATACATTCTGTATACTGGGGGGGTCCTATACATGGTATATACATTCTGTATACTGGGGGGGTCCTATACATGGTATATACATTCTGTATACTGGGGGGTCCTATACATGGTATATATACATTCTGTATACTGGGGGGGTCCTATACATGGTATATACATTCTAATATACTGGGGGGTCCTATACATGGTATATACATTCTGTATACTGGGGGGTCCTATACATGGTATATACATTCTATATACTGGGGGGGTCCTATACATGGTATATACATTCTATATACTGGGGGGGTCCTATACATGGTATATACATTCTGTATACTGGGGGTATATACTGGGGGGGTCCTATACATGGTATATACATTCTATATACTGGGGGGTCATGGTATACATTCTGGGGGGGGTCCTATACATGGTATATACATTCTGTATACTGGGGGGGTCCTATACACATGGTATATACATTCTATATACTGGGGGGTCCTATACATGGTATATACATTCTATATACTGGGGGGGGTCCTATACATGGTATATACATTCTATATACTGGGGGGGTCCTATACATGTATATACATTCTGTATACTGGGGGGGGTCCTATACATGGTATACATTCTTCTGGAGGGGGGTCCTATACATGTATACACTGGGGGTCCTATACATGGTATATACATTCTATATATACTGGGGGGTCCTATACATGGTATATACATTCTATATACTGGGGGGTCCTATACATGGTATATACATTCTATATACTGGGGGGTCCTATACATGGTATATACATTCTATATACTGGGGGGGTCCTATACATTCTATATACTGGGGGGGGGTCCTATACATGGTATAATACATTCTATATACTGGGGGGGGTCCTATACATGGTATATATCTGTATACTGGGGGGTCCTATACATGGTATATACATTCTATATACTGGGGGGTCCTATACATGGTATATACATTCTATATACTGGGGGGGTCCTATACATGGTAATATACATTCTATATACTGGGGGGTCCTATACATGGTATATACATTCTGTATATACTGGGGGGGGTCCTATACATTGGTATATACATTCTGTATATATACATGGTATATACATTCTATATACTGGGGGGTCCCTATACATTCTGTATACTGGGGGGGTCCTATACATTCTATATACTGGGGGGGGGGGCCGTATACATTGTATCTTTTGATTGTATATATATATATTTCTGTTGATTTTTGTGCTGTAGGAAAGACTGGAGAAGCGGATCGGAGATCTGGAGGAGATTATCGGCAGCAAGGAGGAGATGATTGGCAGTCGGAAGGACGGGTACCGTGAGATCCAGGTCCTCCTCACACACTCATTGTCATTTTCTGTCTCATAGTAGATGATTGGGTGGGATGAGTCTGTTCGGCCCCCCTTCTACCCCCCACCCCCCTCTGGGCACCCATAGCCTCAGGACTGCACTATAGACCTGCCCTGTGGGGGGTGCTGCAGCTTTTTTGGGTTGGATGGATCCTTGCTTGTTCTGGGTGGGGGAGGGGTGTAGAACCTTCAGTCTCTGACCCGTCTGAGTTGAGTACATCACCCTTCGGTCCCATAGGAGCGATTCCTCCGGGAGGCTTTTCTGGCGGACAGGTTGTCATCCCCTCAATGGATCAATAAAGATTTCAGGACATGATGACAAGGCGGGACCCTAGAAATGGAGGCGGAGTAATGGGGGGACGTATCTTCTTCCGGGGTACGGTGCACTTCCTGTCTCAGAGAAGGAGGCCGCGTCCTCGGGGGTCCGATCTCTCCTTCCTGCGTTCCCACGCTCTCTCCCTTTGAAATTGTCCTGTTGTGGCAGAAGTGTGACTCGGTGACGTGTCTGTGACTGCAGAGCTGACACTCTATTCCCCTCAGATCCTGATTTGTGGCATGAAGGACAGTCTGACCCAGGACTTCCGTGAAATGCGGGACTATCTGGAGAAGCAGGAGCGGGCCTCATTCTGGAGGATGCAGCAGGAACAGGAGAGCGCCCAGAAGGCCACGTCCCAGGAGGTTCAGACTCTCTTGGCGGAGATCGATCGTATGAGGAAGGAGAAGGTGGAACTGCAGGAACGCATCGAAAACGACTGGATCGCCGTGCTGAAGGTGAGTCTGTGGTCCGAGTGACGAGGGTGGGGAGGACCATTCCTGCTTCCTCTGTCCGCCATTATGACGTCACATTGCAGAATATGGCCTCCTGCACTGACTCCATGTGGCTCTCTGGACACAGATGACTCTGCCTGAACTCTGCTGTCTGATGACTCTGCCTGAACTCTGCTGTCTGATGACTCTGCCTGAACTCTGCTGTCTGATGACTCTGCCTGAACTCTGCTGTCTGATGACTCTGCCTGAACTCTGCTGTCTGATGACTCTGCCTGAACTCTGCTGTCTAATGTCTGATGACTCTGCCTGAACTCTGCTGTCTGATGACTCTGCAGTCTGATGACTCTGCCTGAACTCTGCTGTCTAATGACTCTGCCTGAACTCTGCTGTCTGATGACTCTGCCTGAACTCTGCTGTCTGATGACTCTGCCTGAACTCTGCTGTGTGATGACTCTGCCTGAGCTCTGCTGTGTGATGACTCTGCCTGAACTCTGCTGTGTGATGACTCTGCCTGAACTCTGCCTGAGCTCTGCTGTGTGATGACTCTGCCTGAACTCTGCTGTGTGATGACTCTGCCTGAACTCAGCCTGAACTCTGCTGTGTGATGACTCTGCCTGAACTCTGCTGTGTGATGACTCTGCCTGAACTCTGCTGTGTGATGACTCTGCCTGAACTCTGCTGTGTGATGACTCTGCCTGAACTCTGCTGTGTGATGACTCTGCCTGAGCTCTGCTGTGTGATGACTCTGCCTGAACTCTGCTGTGTGATGACTCTGCCTGAACTCTGCCTGAGCTCTGCTGTGTGATGACTCTGCCTGAACTCTGCTGTGTGATGACTCTGCCTGAACTCAGCCTGAACTCTGCTGTGTGATGACTCTGCCTGAACTCTGCTGTGTGATGACTCTGCCTGAACTCTGCTGTGTGATGACTCTGCCTGAACTCTGCTGTGTGATGACTCTGCCTGAACTCTCTGCTGTGTGATGACTCTGCCTGAACTCTGCTGTGTGATGACTCTGCCTGAACTCAGCCTGAACTCTGCTGTCTGATGACTCTGCCTGAACTCTGCTGTGTGATGACTCTGCCTGAGCTCTGCTGTCTGATGACTCTGCCTGAACTCTGCTGTCTGATGACTCTGCCTGAACTCTGCTGTCTGATGACTCAGCCTGAACTCTGCTGTGTGATGACTCTGCCTGAACTCTGCTATCTGATGACTCTGCCTGAACTCAGCCTGAACTCTGCTGTCTGATGACTCAGCCTGAACTCTGCTGTCTGATGACTCAGCCTGAACTCTGCTGTGTGATGACTCTGCCTGAACTCTGCTGTCTGATGACTCTGCCTGAACTCTGCATCATTTCCTGTCCCTTCTCTTCCAGCATTCCGGATCAGGAGAAGACTCTGTGTCCTCATCCTCCCCCAAGAAACAATACACCTTGGATGAGAACCGCCTGGTAGACACCACTGACGCCATTTCCAGAATCAAGCAGAGCCTCTTGTGTCACCCACTCCTGGAGGAGGTTTCCTGTCCACCCAAACAAGGTGAGGCTGAACTGGGGCACACAGCTAACAATCTATCCGCTTCTGCCTCATGGCGGATTATCGGTGATTGTCCGTCTGCCATGTACATGGAACGGCTCCTTCTCCACAGGCAGGACCAACATACAAACCTCCACACCACCAATGACCCCACAGCCCTGAGACCCCCGACACTGAGACCCCCATAATGATTCCATCAGAGACCCCATTACCCAGAATCCCGCACTGCTCCTGTTTTTCTGCCATGTGATCATATCTCCCGTTGTTTCCAGTGTTTGAGGAGACGCTGGTCTTACAGACCTCTCCTGGAGCCGCCGACCAGACGCCAAGAACAGGACTGCCAGAGAGAAGTCCAAACAACCTCCTGCAGTGTAAGTACAGGCGGGGTACACCTGAGCCCCCCATTTACAGGGGGACGCGGGGGGCGGTGACACCTACCTCTTATATAGTCCCTTCTTAGCAACAGTCCTGTTAGGAAAGGAAAAGGAAGCGCTCTGTGCATCACTACCTGTACAGTGCTGATCCCTCACTGTGTTCATTCATACAGCTTCCTGTTTATTCACAAGCTGATTCATTTATGAAGGAACACAGGGAGGAATCAGTTATGATCCCTCAGTGTTCATTCAGAGAAGGAAAGAGCTGGTAAATCTGACATATTTACTGGCCCCCCATTCTCCATCTTGAAACGATCCTCCTGCGTGCACCCCAGCAGCTGGGTGGAGGGAGAGGAGGGGAAGCCGGAGATGCTGAGGGGAATAGAGTCACACAGGGGGCTGGGCACCAAGGGAAGAGGATAGTGGACAAGAGGGGGTGATCGGTGTGGCGGAGAGGCAATTACTGGAACCAATCCCCTTGTGTGGCTTTCCCTGCAGCAGCTGAAAGCCAGCTGGAGGGAGAAGAGGAGAAGCAAGGGATGCAGGGAGAACAACACAGGGGGATCAGTTCCAGTAATTGCCCCCCCACCACACTTATCACCCCCTCCTGCACACTATCTGATTCCTCCTGCTTGTCAGCTGACTGGCCTCCCCTGCTGAACGGATTGTACAGGAAGGCCGGAGGTACATGTAACAGACATGGTAGGTAGCCAGGAGATCACACATAACTTACCTTCGCACAGGGTGCCGCAATGTGCGAATCGTCAGGGACTCTGCATTAGGACCATCAGCACTAGTCACTGCCGTCATGAAATTCTCCATGCAAGCGGAGTGCCTCTTTAGGGTCTGTGTAGATAGCTGGTCCAGGCCGTATATTTGGGGAGTGGAGCCTCCTATATAGAAGGATCAATGGCAGGAGACTCCCGGCTAATACACACCCCCTTCTTATCACGGTCCCCTGGTGTCTCATCAATGCTCCGTGTCATTCCAGGGGCCACACACATCTCATTCGACCTTCAGACAGTCAACAGTCACCTGGCTGTCTCCGAGGACCTGAAAACGGTGAAGGTGACAAAGAAGAGCGTCCCGTATGAGAAGAGCAGCCGCAGGTTTACCAACAGCCAGGCCCAATGTTCTCAGGCCTTCTCCACCGAGTGCGCACCTACTGGGAGTTCAGTGTGCAGGCCAGCGATGGCTGGGGGGTGGGGAGCCGCCGCCGCCGAGATGGGAAAAGACGGCAAACTTGGACGGAACAATCTATCCTGGTGTGTGGAATGGAATAAAGATCACCTGTGTGCCTGGCACAACGACCAAGACATCCATGTCTTCCTCTCCAGGCCACAGACCGTCGGCGTCCTCCTCGACTGCCCACAAAAGGAGCTGAAATTTTATTCCATCTCCGCCGACAGCCAGATCCTCATCCACTGCTACAAAGTCCAGATCCAGAGCCACATCTTCCCTGCCGCCTGGCTGTACGGCCTGAAGGCCGGGAACTCCCTGACAATACGAGACTTACAGAGCACCAGCATGTGACATGCTCCCGTCCTGTCCTGTGTCGGTGTACAATCCTATGTATGACCTTCACTGGGCTCCACGGCCCAACTTCTCACCTTCTTCTAATGGAAATAAAAAATCATCCAGAGAGATCTCCTGAAATTCACAATCATTTCACCACATTCACCAGCAGGATGAAAGAATACAGAATATCCCTGCCTTCCTGTGATGTCATCCCCTCCTTCCTGTGATGTCATCCCCTCCTTCCTGTGATGTCATTCTCCCCTCCTTCCTGTGATGTCATCCCCTCCTTCCTGTGATGTCATCCCTCTCCTTCCTGTGATGTCATCCTCTCCTTCCTGTGATGTCATCCCCTCCCTTCCTGTGATGTCATCCCCTCCTTCCTGTGATGTCATCCTCTCCTTCCTGTGATGTCATCCCCCTCCCTTCCTGTGATGTCATTCCCCTCCCTTCCTGTGATGTCATCCCCTCCTTCCTGTGATGTCATCCTCCTCTCCTTCCTGTGATGTCATCCCCTTCCTTCCTGTGATGTCATTCCCCTCCCTTCCTGTGATGTCATTCCCCTCCTTCCTGTGATGTCATCCCCTCCTTCCTTTGATGTCATCCCCTCCCTTCCTGTGATGTCATCCCCTTCCTTCCTGTGATGTCATCCCCCCTTCCTGTGATGTCATCCCCTCCCTTCCTGTGATGTCATTCCCCTCCCTGTGATGTCATCCCCTCCCTTCCTGTGATGTCATCCCCTCCCTTCCTGTGATGTCATCCCCTCCCTTCCTGATGATGTCATCCTCTCCTTCCTGTGATGCCATCCCCTCCCTTCCTGTGATGTCATCCCCTCCTTCCTGTGATGTCATTCCCTTCCCTCCTTGTGATGCCCCCCCTTCCTTACATCTAGGTGGGCAGCTGAGTGTACATCCAGGTGAGGAAGGGGAGGGGGCTGTGTGTACATCTAGGTGAGGAGGGCGGGGGCTGTGTGTACATCCAGGTGAGGAAGGGGCGGGGGCTGTGTGTACATCCAGGTGAGGGGGGAGGGGGCTGTGTGTACATCCAGGTGAGGAGGGGGAGGGCTGTGTGTACATCCAGGTGAGGGGGGAGGGGGCTGTGTGTACATCCAGGTGAGGAGGGGGAGGGCTGTGTGTACATCCAGGTGAGGAGGGGGGGTACTTCCAGGTGAGGGGGGAGGGGCTGTGTGTACATCCAGGTGAGGTGGGGAGGGGGCTGTGTGTACATCCAGGTGTACATCCAGGAGGGGGGAGGGCTGTGTGTACATCCAGGTGAGGGGGAGGGGCTGTGTGTACATCCAGGTGAGGAGGGGGAGAGGGGCTGTGTGTGTACATCCAGGTGAGGAGGGGGGAGGGGGCTGTGTGTACATCCAGGTGAGGAGGGGGGAGGGGGCTGTGTGTACATCCAGGTGAGGAGGGGGGAGGGGGCTGTGTGTACATCCAGGTGAGGGGGGAGGGGGCTGTGTGTACATCCAGGTGAGGAGGGGGAGGGCTGTGTGTACATCCAGGTGAGGAGAAGGAGGGGCTGTGTGTACATCCAGAATGCCAAGGGTAAATGGGGGCGTGGCCTGTGACCTGGGCATAGAACTTTATGGGGACGTCCCAGCCTCGTTGCTATGGGAACATATACACCTCCGGCGGCAGTGCGCCAACTTTCTAATGAGCATGCGCAGCTTTCTTTCCCAATGTCACTTCCGCCTTTGGATTTCTGCACATGCCAGTTAAGGGCCTTATTACTCTGCGCACGCGCAGTAAGAGCTGTCAGATCGGGTCCCGCCCTCGGGGACGTCACTGATCGCAGTGTGAGGAGTGTGTCTCCTTACGGCTGCCGTGCTGCAGAGCGGGCCGAGTGTGAGGAGATCCGGGGAGAGGAGCATGAAGAAGGACGTCCGAATCCTGCTGGTGGGAGAGCGTGAGTGTCCCCGAAATATCCTTCCCCCCCAGTCACAGGAGAGTGTCCCCGAAATATCCTTCCCCCCCCCAGTCACAGGAGAGTGTCCCCGAAATATCCTTCCCCCCAGTCACAGGAGAGTGTCCCCGAAATATCCTTCCCCCCCAGTCACAGGAGAGTGTCCCCGAAATATCCCCCCCCAGTCACAGGAGAGTGTCCCCGAAATATCCTTCCCCCCCCCAGTCACAGGAGAGTGTCCCCGAAATATCCTTCCCCCCAGTCACAGGAGAGTGTCCCCGAAATATCCTTCCCCCCCCAGTCACAGGAGAGTGTCCCCGAAATATCCTCCCCCCCCCCAGTCACAGGAGAGTGTCCCCGAAATATCCTTCCCCCCAGTCACAGGAGAGTGTCCCCGAAATATCCTTCCCCCCCCCCCAGTCACAGAGAGTGTCCCCGAAATATCCTTCCCCCCAGTCACAGGAGAGTGTCCCCGAAATATCCCCCCCCCCCCCCCAGTCACAGGAGAGTGTCCCCGAAATATCCTTCCCCCCCCCCCAGTCACAGGAGAGTGTCCCCGAAATATCCTTCCCCCCAGTCACAGGAGAGTGTCCCCAAAATATCCTTCCCCCCCAGTCACAGGAGAGTGTCCCCAAAATATCCTTCCCCCCCAGTCACAGGAGAGTGTCCCCGAAAATATCCTTCCCCCCCAGTCACAGGAGAGTGTCCCCAAAATATCCTTCCCCCCCCCCCCCAGTCACAGGAGAGTGTCCCCGAAATATCCTTCCCCCCCCCAGTCACAGGAGAGTGTCCCCGAAATATCCTTCCCCCCAGTCACAGAGAGTGTCCCCGAAATATCCTTCCCCCCCCCAGTCACAGGAGAGTGTCCCCGAAATATCCTTCCCCCCCCCCCAGTCACAGGAGAGTGTCCCCGAAATATCCTTCCCCCCCAGTCACAGGAGAGTGTCCCCCGAAATATCCTTCCCCCCCCCCCCCCCCAGTCACAGGAGAGTGTCCCCGAAATATCCTTACCCCCCCCCAGTCACAGGAGAGTGTCCCCAGTCAAGGATCCTTCCCCCCCCCCCAGTCACAGGAGAGTGTCCCCGAAATATCCTTCCCCCCAGTCACAGGAGAGTGTCCCCGAAATATCCTTCCCCCCCAGTCACAGGAGAGTGTCCCGAAATATCCTTCCCCCCCCCCCAGTCACAGGAGAGTGTCCCCGAAATATCCTTCCCCCCCAGTCACAGGAGAGTGTCCCCGAAATATCCTTCCCCCCCCCCCAGTCACAGGAGAGTGTCCCCAAAATATCCTTCCCCCCCAGTCACAGGAGAGTGTCCCCGAAATATCCTTCCCCCCCCAGTCACAGGAGAGTGTCCCCGAAATATCCTTCCCCCCCAGTCACAGGAGAGTGTCCCCAAAATATCCTTCCCCCCAGTCACAGGAGAGTGTCCCCGAAATATCCTTTCCCCCCCCCAGTCACAGGAGAGTGTCCCCGAAATATCCTTCCCCCCAGTCACAGGAGAGTGTCCCCGAAATATCCTTCCCCCCCAGTCACAGGAGAGTGTCCCCGAAATATCCTTCCCCCCCAGTCACAGGAGAGTGTCCCAAAATATCCTTCCCCCCCCCCAGTCACAGGAGAGTGTCCCCGAAATATCCTTCCCCCCCCCCCCCCAGTCACTGGAGAGTGTCCCCGAAAATATCCTTCCCCCCAGTCACAGGAGTGTCCCGAAATATCCTCCCCCCCCCCCCCCCCAGTCACAGGAGAGTGTCCCCGAAATATCCTTCCCCCCCAGTCACAGGAGAGTGTCCCCGAAATATCCTTCCTTCCCCCCAGTCACAGGAGAGTGTCCCCGAAATATCCTTCCCCCCAGTCACAGGAGAGTGTCCCCGAAATATCCTTCCCCCCCCCAGTCACAGGCTTCCCCCCCCAGTCACAGGAGAGTGTCCCCGAAAATATCCTTCCCCCCAGTCACAGGAGAGTGTCCCCGAAATATCCTTCCCCCCAGTCACTGGAGAGTGTCCCCGAAATATTCTTCCCCTTGTCACATGTGAGTGTCCCCGACCCCACACCAACCCCCCCCCCCCCCCCCTATGTCCGCCCCCAAACAAACAACCCTGTCTCTGGTTGTGAGTGTTCCCGATGAAAGATCCTACCCTCCCCCCCCCCCCCCAGTCACAGTGTGAGTGTCCCACCCTCCCGAAATATCCTCCCCCCCCCCCCCCGTCACAGGAGAGTGTCACCGAAATTATCTCCCCCCACCAGTCACTGGAGCGTGTCCCTGTAAATATCCTTCCCCCCCCCCGTCACAGGAGAATGTCTTCGCTTTCGCTCCCCCCCTTCATTTTCATGCCCCCTCAGCCAAAGGCAGCAGTGCGGGGCTGGTCATGGATCTCTGATGGAATGGGGGGGGGCCCCCCCAACCTCCCCCCGGGGTTTAAAAAACGATATCTCTCTCTCTTTCCAGCCCGGGGGGAAGACATTCTCATCATGTCTCGGGCAGTGAGGGGTTTTTCCCAGGGGAGGTGGGGTCACCCGGGCAGTGTGTCTGGGGAGGGGGGGGAGTCAAAACCCGGCCGTGTTCTGGGAGGGGGGATCACCCGGGCATGTTCTGGGGGGGGGCGGAGTCACCCGGGCATGTTCTGGGGGGGCGATCACCCGGGCAGTGTGTCTGGGGAGGGGCGGATCACCCGGCATTGTCTGGGGAGGGGCGAGTCCCCCCTTTAGTGTGTCGGGGGAGGGGCGGATCCCCCCTTTATGGTTCTGGGGGGGGGGGCGGAGTCACCCCTTCAGTGGTCTGGGGGGGGGGGCGGGGTCACCCCTTTAGGTTCTGGGGAGGGCGGAGTCACCCCTTTATGTGTTGGGAGGGGGGGATCCCCCGGGGAGTGTGTCTGGGAGGGGGGGAGCCACCCGGGGAGTGTGTCTGGGGGGGGGCGGAGCCACCCGGGGGAGTGTGTGGGAGGGGGGGACCACCCGGGGCATTTTTTTGGGAGGGGCGGAGTCACCCGGAGTGTGCGGGGAGGGGGGGAGGGG